ATATATATATATATATATAACACATTATCTAGATAAGTGTTTCTAGATCATCTCGATCTACACACCATTTTTGAAGTTCTGTTGCTGGTACTGTGTATTTTAGCCAGTCAAAGGTGCGCCTTATTTTGATTGTTTAAGGTTGACGCCTTATACCAACCACACTCTTCTAAGAAGCAATTTTATGGGTTTATTGTTGAATAGCGGAGATGTTGTTTTCCATGGCTTTCTCAGGCATTGGGAATCATCCAGGCACCATGGACATGAGAGCTTATTTGTTGCAGAAGTTCAGTGCAGAGGAGCGTGAACAGGTACATAAGCTCAAATTTATGTATGCCTAATGTGGAGTGGTTTTATATGGACAGTTCTGAATTTTTATTCCTTGAAATCAATGATTTAAGATTCAGAAGACACGTTTGCTTTTGGAAGATCTGAATTAGCCCTTCAGATACTAATATCCTTGTTAACATGCTCTCACTCTCCCCTTCTCCCTCTTTGGGGCCCCGACGAAGTCGTTTGGACTCTTACCTCTTCGGGACTCTTTTCGGTTGCGTCCTTTTTACCTCTCCCTCACCTAGCCTCAGATCCCCAGTGCAGGTTCGTCCACTACGGCTAGAGCTTGGCTCCCCTTCGTCCCTCCAAAAGTGCAGGTCCTCAACTGGATCCTAGCTTCTGAGAGAGCTTTCACAGTTGTCCTCCTTCAGATGAGGGGAATGCAGATTCCTAACTGCTGCATTATGTGCTTGGAGGAAGAGGAGACCAATGCCCATCTCTTTCTCCATTGCAAACTTGGCCTCCACCCTTTGGGCTGCCTTCAACTTTTTCATTAGCAGTGGGTGACCCCACCCACAGTTGCACATCTTTTTTGTTCTCACTCCCTTCCCTAGGTCAAAGCGGGTATCATTCGTCTCACTTCTCCCCTCCCTAGGTCAAAGGGGGTATCATTTTTTGGAGACAGCCTCTGTGGCTGCAACCTTCTTTGTATCATTTGGCATGAAAGAAACAATGAAATATTCTGCAGCCAAAGGTCCAACCCGGTAGCAATGATTGAGAAGGCCAAATGCCTCATCGTCTTTTGGGCCATTCACAACAAACACTTTAGCCACTTATCCCTGTCTGACTTCCACCTAAATTGGTGCACTTTGTTGAACCCGAGATTGCTTTGAATCTCTCGGGCTTCCCTGTGGAGACCCCCAAACACCGGTTAGATTAAGCCAGTTAGATTAAGCTTAACTTTGATGACTGCTCCTTGGGAAACCCAGAGCCTGCAGCCATTGGGGGTTATTTCGAGACAAAGACGGAGTCATCCTGCTCTCCTTTTCTTTTCCCTTCTCATCGGGTTTTCTGACTCCACCACCTCGGAAGCCTAGGCACTCTGGGAAGGCCTTAGGAATTTTGATCCATCTTGGGGCCATACTATTGTGGAAGGTGATTCCAAGAGTGTGTTGGGTTGGGCCTCAGGTAGGACACCATGGACCTAGAGACTTGATGGTGTTTTTGATGAGATTTTACAACCTAGCAGGTCGACTCAAATTTCGTGGAGTCACACCTGGAGAGAGAGCCAATTTTGAGGTTGACACCCTTGCCAAGGAAGGGGCCTCCCAGTCCGCTGTTAACCTGAGCACAATGCCGGGAAGTCCCTTAACACCTTTTTGAGCACCATATAGCATTTTTTTGACACTTCTTTTTTGTACAGGGCACCTGTCTGTGGGCTGCCTCTATAATTTTACTTCCCTCTTGTAACCTTTTACTACTTTAATACAAATGTTAACACATTAAAAAAAAAACATGCTCTCTCTAGATATATAAAATGATGGGGAGGAACAAGGCTTCATCTCTCCACCTGGTGGGTGGATAAATGACTGAAATGCCCCTTATCTTGACAATCTTTGTTTAAGCAGCCCTCTGCACCTAGTTTTAATTTTTAAGGCGTCCTCTTTAGAAATGCCATTTTCTCTCGACTGATTGCGTAGAGGCAAAACTGACTTGAGGCACACCTTATATACCCCCTCGCAGTATAGCAACTGCCACTGAATCTCCCTTATGTATAGAAATGAATATCGTGCCGCTATAGTTTTTGCTTTTATGTTTTCTTAGCTTGCCATTTTTGTAAGTGATACTTTTGTCCCTGAAAATTGAACTTTTATAGACAAAGCTCTACTGATTACATATTTGTATGTCTTCCTAAGATAATCACCATAATTATTGTAATCTCTCTTTTCGATTAAAACTGACAAATGGTTGCCTGAAGTTGTTTATGTTGAGCAACCTACAATGTGGAAGTTGATAAAACTTGGGACTAGTCTTTATGAATTTCATGGCGTAATTTTTGTAGGGCCTCTCAAAATTTAATATTTATGATATATATATATATATATATATATATATAGGTAAAAAGTTTTATAGAGCCGAGGCTAGCCCACCTCAAAATTTTTATTAGAAGAGGTTGTTTTAATGCCCAAATATCCTCAAATTTATCATCTCAGCATCAAGGTGTGCAAAGGCATGAGAAAAATATGGATTTCAAGTTTTAGAAATAATGCATCTTGGAACGCATTTT